CCACCCCCGACGGACAGAGGATGGTAGGGAGGAGCTGGCACCACACGGGTGGCGTAGTCAAGGCGGCTGGCGGCAGCAAACTCAGCGACAGCGGCAGTGAGAGCCGAGACAGACGACGGAGGGAAACGAGGGTCGGTGACAAGAGTGGTGAGGACACGTGCGGCAACAGGACGAACAGCGCGGTAGTAGTCAGAGATAGGAGTGGGGAGGGCAGGTAGAGAGGACGGAGGAGGAGACGGGAGAACGGACACAGGAGAAGGAGAACGACGACGAGACGAACAAAGGAGGGCAGTGTGGAGGTCAGTAACAGGGGACGAGTGACGAGCACGCGGAGGACAACGAGTGATCAAGTCGCGACGGACAGAGGGAGGAGGAGACTGAGGAGGAGGAGAAGACCAGACCGCCGGACGGTCGTCAGGAGGAGGCAACGGAGGAACAAACACAGGAGGAGACTGGGAGCGGACAGGAGGAGAGGAGGAAAGGCCAAGGGCCCGCAAGCCACTCACAGGTGGGAACAACCGCCGCTCTAGAGGAAGCTGCGGTGGCGGCTGCGGCCGCTGCGGCTGCGGCTGCGGCTGCTGCTGCTGCTGCGGCTGCGGCTGCGGCTGCGGCTGCGGCTGCTGCTGCTGCTGCTGCTGCTGCTGCTGCTGTTGCTGCTGCTGCTGCTGCTGCCGCTGCTGCTCCAGAAGGTCCAGCACCCGCAGCTCCTGCCGCTCCCTCTCCAACCGCTCCTGCTCCTCACGCTCACGCCGACGGGCAGCCTGGAGACGCGTGTCGTGGCGGTGGGGGGGCGGGGTGGACTCCGCAGAACCAGGGTCTCCAGCGTCAGTCTCCTCAGACTCAGCACCCCCAGAACCAGTACCGCCAGTGCTAGGACCTCCAACTCCAGCACCCCCAGAACTAGCACCGCTAGTGCCAGCACCCCCAACTCCAGCACCCCCAGAACCAGCACCTCCAGTGCCGGCACCTCCAGCTCCAGCACCCCCAGAGCTAGCGCCACCTGCGCCAGCACCTCCAGCTCCAGCACCCCCAGAGCTAGCGTCACCTGCGCCAGCACCTCCAGCTCCAGTACCCCGCGACCGAGCACCGCCAGCGGCTGCACCTCCAGCTCCAACACCAACCGAGTCCACAGTAACCTGTCGCGGAAGTGCCGAAGGCTGCTGAGGGGACTGTGAGGAGGACTGCGGGGAGGGAGACGCTACCTGACGCACGACCGAGGGGAGAGGGGTAGCGTGGGACACACCAGACGGGGCAGGACCAGGGGGGGGCGGGGGTACCGGAGGAGCGGGAGCAGGAGGAGGAGAGGGTGCGAGGAAGAGAGGGGGAGGGGGTACCGGGAGACCTCGACAGGGGTACCGGGTGTAGTAGGACACGGACTCGTCAAACCGGACGTCACGGGAATCTAGGAACTGGTGGAGGGGAGGGTGGTAAAAGGACCAGTCAGCAGAGTCCACTGGGAAACCAAGGAAGACACAGGGGACGGCGCGTGCCGAGAGCTTGTCCGCGGAGGTGTCGCGAACAAGTGCAAGGCAGCCCCAGACTCGAAAGGCCGACCCAACACCAGGGGATCCAGTCCAGAGACTGGTCGGTGAAGCCTCGGGCCGCGAGACACGCGGCTGGAGGTTCAGCTGGTGTGCGGCGTAGCGAACCGCGTGAGGCCACAGAAAATGGGGCGCACGGGCATGAATCATGGACGTGCGGGCGATGTCCATGACCAAGCCTATGCGGCGCTCAGCAACCCCATTCTGCTGTGGGGACTCTGGCAGCATCCAGGACTGGGTGATGCCCTGTTCGCCGCAGAATCCGCCGAGAATGCCGGAGCGAAACTCGCCCCCACGGTCGGAGTGAAGACAACTGACTCGACGACCACGAGTGCCCTCAGTGGCTAGAAGCCACCTGATCAGCGTAGCAGTCACCTCGGACTTCTTCGCAAGAGGAAACACTGTGGTGTACCTGGAGAAGTCGTCGACGACCACCAGAAAGTAGCGCTCCCTCCCAGACCCCTGCGTCGGGGCAGGGCCCCAGACGTCCAAGTGGAGAGTCTCGAAGGGAGCGGTGGCCGGACGAAGGGAGGAGGAGTGGGGAGTGGCACGTAAGCGACCGGCGACGCACGGAGAGCAAGGAGGGGCAAGCGAGGGAGGGAGCGACGGGAAGGTGCGTGGGAGACCTGTGACTAGTCCCTGACTGAGCATGCCACGAAGGCGAGGGATCGACGGGTGGCCAAGACGGTGGTGCCACAGGACGGTGCGGTGGGCGAGAGAGCGACAGGAGCAAGACGCAGCGACTGGACTGGACACAGCGACCGGACTGGACACAGCCACCTGACCGGACTCTGCTACCGGGGGGGACGAAGCAACCTGACCAGACGCAGCTACCTGCGGGGGCGGAGTGTGCAGGACGAAGAGACCTGAGTGGGGCTCTCTGGTGAACGTGGCAAGAACTGCCCCGGTGGAAAAGTCCGTACAGATCGCAGTCCTCCCGTGCGCAGGAAAAGTGACTGTGATCCCCCGGTCCTGAAGGTATCCAACACCCACCAAGTTCCGAGAGAACGAGGGGATGTAGAGACCAGTGAGGAAACCAGAGGGGACAGCCGGGCACGGGAGGGTGGTCGGGCTACGAGCAACTGCTGGTCCTGAAGTAGGATCAGCCAGGGCAACTGGGACTGGAGCCGAAAGAGGTGTGACAGTGGTGTGGTCGCGGAAGAAACACTGAGACGCGCCGGAGTCCAGCGTGAAGGAGAGCGACGCAACAGCAGTCGTCACGGCTGGGCTAGTGACTACACAAGCACCTACACTAAAAGCACAAGTACCGACACTAGCAACAGGCAAAGGTCCTAAGCTAGGTACACGTAAGCCAAGAGATCCGTACGTGACAGAATAAACAGCATCCATAGACATATCAAATACAGGGAAACCACTACGAAACAGACCGGGCCAGATCGGGGGAGCCGACTCAGGCCCAAAACGCTCACGGTAAAGGTCGTCGAGGCGGCTGTAGCAGCACTGTGCAGAGTGGTCAGGACGCCAGCAGGTAGTGCCAGCACCAGGGCCGGTCAGGATCCGGTACTGGCAGGGGCCGACGTCGCGGCCACCGCGACGAGCCCCCCAGCTGGCTGGGCCGCTGCTGCAGCCAACGCGACCTGAACCACCAGGCCCCCATGGCTGCTGAGGGCGCCACAGCTGCTGAGGGCGCCCCTGCCGCTGCGGAAGCCACTGCTGAAAAGGCCGCTGCTGCTGTCCCTGCTGCTGGAGAACCCTAGCGGACTCCATGATAAAAGCTAGCGGGGTGCAGGAGCGGCAGGCTAGGAGCGACAGGAGCGACAGGCTGCTGTGAAAAACGAGAACAACTAGGAGCGCAAGGTGAAACCAGGCGAGTAACTGCTGGAGCACGGAGCGAACTAAGCTAGGAGCGCCAGGTGAAACCAGGCGAGTAACTGCTGGAGCACGGAGCGAACTAAGCTAGGAGCGCCAGGTGAAACTAGGCGAGGAACGGCCGGAGCACGGAGCAAACTGAGCTACGAGCGAGGAGCGAGAACGGCTGGAGCGAGAACGGCTGGAGCTAGAAGCGGCGAGCTAGGGCTGGCTGGAGGTAGGAACGGCCGGGGCTAGAGACCGTAAGTGCGGCTGTCGGCTGCCGCTAGTAGAGCCACTGGCAGTGGAAAGTACGTGCGACAGTAGGGGCTGCAGTACTGACGGCTGCGGGATGTAGGCAACTGTGCAGGTCGTCCGGCAAGCAGGAACGCGGGCGACAGTCGCAGGCCCCCACTGTGAACCCCCTTTTTTTTTTTTTTTTTTTTTTAGGGTTTAATTTATTTATTTATTTTCTGGCACTAAAGCACCCCGGGGCGCGCTGCCTGCAGGGTGTGCTGCCTGCGGGGCGCGCTACCCGCGGGGCGCGCCTCCTGCGGGGCGCGCTACCCGCGGGGCGCGCTACCCGCGTGGCGCGCTGCCTGCGGGGCTGGGGTGACGAGCCAGGGAGGGCGCCTGGGCGACGGGCTAGGACGGGCGCCTGGGCGACGGGCTAGGACGGGCGCCTGGGCGACGGGCTAGGGCGCAGGCCTGGGCGACGGGCTAGGACGGGCGCCTGGGCGACGGGCTAGGGCGCAGGCCTGGGCGACGGGCTAGGGCGCAGGCCTGGGCGACGGGCTAGGGTGGGCGCCTGGGCGACGGGCTAGGGCGGGCGCCTGGGCGACGGGCTGGGTCGGGCGCCTGGGGGACGGGCTGGGGTGGGCGCCTGGGCGACGGGCTAGGGCGGGCGCCTGGGCGACGGGCTAGGGCGGGCGCCTGGGCGACGGGCTGGGGCGGGCGCCTGGGCGACGGGCTGGGGTGGGCGCCTGGGCGACGGGCTAGGGCGGGCGCCTGGGCGACGGGCTAGGGCGGGCGCCTGGGCGACGGGCTAGGGCGGGCGCCTGGGCGACGGGCTAGGGCGGGCGCCTGGGCGACGGGCTAGGGCGGGCGCCTGGGCGACGGGCTAGGGCGTGGGCCTGGGCGACGGGCTAGGGGCGCAGGCTAGGGGCGCGGAGGGCGCTAACGCGCGGAGGAGGAGGGCGCTAAGGCGCGGAAATGGCGCGGAGGGCGCGGTGGCTAAGGCGCGGAGGGCGCGGAGGGCGCGGAGGGCGCGGAGGGCGCGGAGGGTGCTAGGGCACAAGGGCGCGGAGGGCGCGGAGGGCGCGGAGTGTGCTAGGGCGCAAGGGCGCGGAGGGCGCTAGGGCGCGAGCTAGGCTAGGCTAGGCGAGAGGATCGACACCTACTCATGATACCATCTCAAAGTTAGCGAACAACGGAATGATTGGAATAGAAACGAATGGGGTACAAATGAGCAACCCTAGAAGCTGTACCCCCTAGAGTGCAACTCATTATAGCCTATCATATCAATGTTCAACATTTGACAGTATATTCCAAGAAAAACATATGGCAAATTTTAATGCATACTGTAATCTAGCTGCTTCGGCATGATTTGCTACAATTATACAATGTCACATTGTTACGTACGACCCCGTGCTACACTGCATGGTCCAAAACGACTCGAAAAATTGCCTGCTTGCTCATCATGCGATCGAAGGCCTCTGATGCCTGGCTGGCGGGAAAGACCTCGTTGATTGGCCGAATGCCATGCCGGGCAGCAAACTGGGCGGGGATGAAGTGTGATTGGTGGGTGATGGGGGTTGGTGGGGGGAGGAAGGTTGACGTGGAGATGATGAGATGGAGAAGAGGAATCTCGGGGATGGAGCAGGCAGCCACAATGCAGTGGGAGGGGCAGTGACCATTCCCTTCACAGCATCTTCAGCATCACTGGGCTGTCCCGAAAAAAAAAAAACCCGGTCCCTCAATGGCGACAATTAAAAGCCCCCAGTCCATTCGCACCGGGCAGTCATTGTGCCTGCCCACGCCTGCTACAGCCACACTCAAACCCCCCATAGCCTCCTGCCGGCGAGCAGAACCTTCGGGTCCACGAGCATGATGCACACACTTTGGCCCCCCGCGCTCAGCAGCAGTGGAAGGAGCGCACACTCACACCTACCTTGTAGAAGCGGCCATTACGCCCGTTGTCCCTGCCCCCACACTCACCCTGAGAGCATCCTCTGCATCGCTGGGTTGCCCCGAGGGGAAGCCCATGACCTTCCTCCTGCCGGCGATGAGGAAGCCCGGGTCCACGAGCACGGTGCAGTCGTCGTGGCCGCCCACGCCCAGCAGCACCAGCGTGCCCGCCTTGGCCAGCACAGGCAGCACCGCCGTCATGGCGCTGGCGCTGGGCGCTGTTGCCAGCAGCACGTTGATGCCCCCTTGAGCCTGCTGGGTGGGAGGGGGCAGGCGGTGAGGGGGTTTGAGAGAGAGAGGAGGAGCGGTGAGGAAGTTGAGCAGCATGAGAGCAGTGGCCTTGGCGAGGACAGGGAGGACGGCTGTCATTGCACGGGCGCGTGCCATTGCTGTTCACCCCTAGAGCCTGGCTAGGAGGTCCCAAGTGAGCGGGCAGGACGGGTGCCATGGGTGCGGTGGTGGGAGCTGTTGGTACAACCCGCTCCTTCCCGCTCACACCCCATGGTCAGGAAAGAGTACGAGTGGAGGAGGTGAAGGGGCTGAGGGAGAGGGAGAAGCAGGTGGGTGAGGCGAGGGAGCGAGGCGGTGTTGGCGAGGGTGGGGACGAGTTCAGAAGGATGTGGGGGTGGGGCTGATGAGCTGACTCCCATTGCGAAAAGATGTGGGGGTAAGGGGGAGGGCTGGTAGACTGAGTCTGTAAAAGGGCTTCAGAGATAATGTGTGGGGGGCAAGGAGAGGGGAGAATGGGGGCTAGCACCTGAGGATTTGGGAGCGGTGGTAGTGTGGAAGTGAAACGCCTCGCCTCAGTTGAGATGTCTTCTGGAATCCATCCTCCGGTGTCCTTACAGTGTTGTGCTGTGCTGTGCGCATCTGCTCACTGAACTGTCACCTGAAGCCTAATTTCTCACCTGAACTTTCTCCTGATATCCACATTCTCACCTGAACTTTCTCCTGAAAGCCGTCCTCTGTGGTGTCAACGTAGCGCTGTGCCCCGAGCCTCCTCGCCTCTGCCTCCTTGCTTCGACCGCGAGAAAACACCACCACCTCATACCCCATCTTGCTGGCGTACTGTGGGATTGTAAGCAAAGAAGGGGATGACAATTACGAGCGGCGGATGGGTAATGAGAGAGAGTAACGGCACCACCTTGTACCCCATGTTGCTCCCGTACTGTAAGGTGATGATAAGGGATTATGAGAAGGGGGGAGGAGTGACAATAACGAGGGGCGGGTGGGTGTAACTAACGCCACCATCTCTTACCCCACCTGGCTCGCATGCTGTGGGTTATAACGACGGGGGGGAGGGGAAGGGGAGGGGTGGGTGATGCTAAAGAGGATATGGGGATTATGGGGATTATGGGGAGGGAGAAGGAGTGACAGTAACGAGGGGTGGATGGTTTTAGAACGAGCGAAGGGCAGACAATGTCCCCCCATCGTACCCCATCTTGCTTGCGTGCTGGTGTGATAGCAGTGAGAGCAGCACGTGATTCCAATGAAAACATATGGGTTGAGTATTCCCTTCCTCCCTGCCTTCACCCCACACTGAATGATTTTGATGAGTGACAGCAGCAGCAGAGAGCAGCAACTGGATGCGTTTCTTGCAGTAGAGATTAAAATTCACCTGGCACACCTGAAACATGCAACGGAGCGCCTCACCTGAACGGCAAGGTGGCCCAGACCCCCCATCCCCTGAACGCCAACAGTGGCACCTGGAGAAGCACCTGCATGGCGCAGACTGTTGAACACCGTCAGGCCTGGCGGGGGAGGAAAGGGGGAAGGGGGTGGTTGAAGTGGTGCCGACCAATGCACACTTCCATGCATGGCAAACACGCGGGGGTGAGGGACGGCAGGGAGGGAGGTAAGAGGGGTTCTCTTAGGGGCCTAAAGAAATTCCTGGATGCAAGCAGTGGCACCAAGAACCCTAAACCCATGGCGCTGATTGTTGAACGCCGTCAGGCCTGGCGAGGTAGCGGGGAGGCGGAACGGGAGGGAGGGATTGGTGGCGGCGGGGTCAGGGATGGGGGGTGGGGGAGAGAGGGGGAAAACAGAGGACGGGGGACATGCGGATAATGAGACGAAATTTAGAAAGGGAATACGGAAGGCAGAAAGGGGAATGAGGGGGAGCTGATACTATCGCTGAGACGTGACGAAGAGTGTCGGATGAGAGGGAGGAGAAGGTGAAAGGGTGGGGGCGAGTACGGGGGGAGTGCACAGGAGGAGACACTGGCAAGGAGAGAGAGGGGAGAACGGCAAGGGAAACTATGTCGGGTTTTAGGGAAATGGTAAAAGGTGCAATAAGCAGAAGGGTGGAAAGGAGGGGAGAGTGAGAGCGAGGAGCAGTGGAGATGGAGGCGTGCAGCGTGCATGGTGGCGCGCAGGGGTGCGTGGTTTCGGTCCATGTGGGCGGGCATGCCTCGGAGGTGCAACGCGGGTGGGGCACTCGAACGTGGGGCAGCGCGGCAAGGGGGGGTGGAATGGGGGGGGGAAGAAGGGGAGCAGGGGGGGCGCCATGCATGGAGTAATGCCTCACCCACCTGCGCACATTAGCGGTGCGGCTTCCAGGAAGGTGAGCTCGTCGGGAATCTTAGCGAGCGCGTGGGCGGCGACGGTGACATACGGCTGGTAGCCGCCGTCGAAGTGCGCGCCGGTGATCGCGAGGTGGTCGCAGCACACCAGATCGCCCTCCCGGCACGACCGACACGTGGCACAGCACCCGCCGAACCAACCCAATCCCACGCGATCCCCGACAGTCCACTGCGGCCGCGCTCCGCCTGTTGCGGCGCCTTCTACGGCGGCTCCTACGGCGTCGACCACGCCTGCTATCTCATGGCCTGGGACGCGCGGGAACGTGGTTCCCAGGAGCCCGAACTTCGGAACCACGTCGCCGTGACACACGCCGCACGCATGAACCTTCACGCGAACCTTCCCCGCAGGCGGCGCTTCAACGGGCTTGTCCACCGTGGCGAACGGCGCTCCTGCCGCCGTGAGTTGCGGGGCTTTGAAAGTCGCTGCCATGCCGCAATCGCAGTAGAGGAGCGAAGGGAATGGCGGATGCTGATTGGGATACCGTCTCTAAAGAGCACCGGGAATGGCGCGAGAATTGTCACTTGGCGAATGCTGATCGCGATAACCTGACCGACTCCGTCTGACGGACAGACGGCACGGACGAAAGTTGAATTGGGCGGATTCCGCGCTCGTGTCAACAAGGCGGATTCCGGCGGTGAATATCAAGCTCTCGTGCAGCATTCTCGTTAAACGCATACCAAGGTACACCACAACTTATGTTACATACAGCACAACTCACAAATCTTAATTGATATACGGTAGGTGGCTAGGTTGGTGACACGGAATAAAAAGGCAACGAAAAAAATACACCAAGGTGTTTCTTAGCTGAGTCATCAGTAATGGAGAGAAAAATCAGCTCCAAATCAAAACAGAAGAAAATGACACTAAAACGAGTGAATGAGATGCTACCTCTTAAGAGTAACATGCAATGGAATTGTGGGATTAGGAATGTGGGTGATACAAATAGCAAACCCTAACTGAGTTGTACTCACTAAGGAGCACCTCACTATAGCCTCTCACAAATAACTACATTTGACACACCCCCATAGGCTAAGTGAGGGGCATCAGAGCAAGCAGGGTGAACAAACGGTCACAAGGCCAGTCAAGACAAGAAACAAAGCAAGCTCAGGGTGGATCTCAAGGACACCACACAAATTCTGAGCACAAACAAACAGCCACAAGGCCAGTTCAAGAGAGCACAAATATATATAGAGGCAATTACAAGCAGAGCAAGCAACGAGAACAACAGTACAGTAACCGAGGGCCTACCTCAACAAGCCCTAGCTCCACACAGAACCTGTGGTGGTCACCAGGCGCCAAGGCCTTGGTGAAGACGTCGGCAGTGTTGGCCTCCGAGGCCACAAAGTCCAAGCGTGCCTGGCCGCGGCGCTGCAGCTCGCGCAGGAGGAAGTACCTCACGTCAATGTGCTTCACTCTACTCTCCAGTCGAGGCTCTCGACACAGGAGGATCATGGCCTTGTTGTCAACATACAAGGTCGGTGCAGAGCGAGGCCGCTCACCAAGGTCGGCAAGCAAGAAGGTCAACCAGCGAAGCTCCTGTGCCGCCATGGCACCAGCGTAGATCTCTGCCTCTGCACTGGACGAAGCCACAGACGACGAACGTGTAGACCTCCACGACACAGCACCAGCACCCAGGCTGAAACAGTAACCCTGAGTCGAGCGCCGAGTCTCCACGTCGTCAGCGTAGGAAGAGTCGCAGTGACCGGTCAACAGAACTGGTTGACTCCCTCCAAGCACAAGCCCCATGCCTGATGTAGTCCAGTGGACAGGACGGTGTCTCCCAATCGCAAGAAAGCGAGAGAGGACGCTGAGGGGGAAGTCGAGGTCCGGCCGAGTACAAGTCATCAGGTACATGAGGCAGCCCACCAGCTCTGCGTAGGGACCACTAGACTCAAAGGGCTCGTCAGGAAAGGGGCCAGTGAGTCTGTGGTCAACAGCAAGAGGAGTGGGATGTGTGGTGGAGAACTGAAACTCGAACCGCCGAAGGACCTGCTGCATCATGCGTGACTGAGTCAGTGTGATGGTGCGAGCGGCTCTGTCCCTGGTGATCTGCAGGCCAAGGTAGCGCTGCAGTTCACCTAGGTCAGTGCACTTGTGTCTCTTCTGCAGTTCGGACTTCACCTGAGCTAGAGCTGCCCTGTCTGGTGTAGCAAAGACCAAGTCGTCGACGTAGACAAGGATGAAGAAATGAGTAGAACCAGCACGAACAAACAGCGACGGGTCGGCAGACGACGGACGAAACCCAAGGTCACGAAGCGTGGAGCGAAGAGTGTCGTGCCACTTACGGGGCGACTGGCGGAGACCGTAGACTGGTCGCCTCAGGCTCCACTGGGTTCCAGGTGGGAAGGTGTCAGTGAAACCAGGAAGGCGTCGCAGCCAGATCTCCTCGTGTAGGCGGCCCTGGAGAAACGCAGTGGAGAAGTCGAGGGAGTGCAGATCGTAGTCTCGCTGCGCTGCTATGTGGAGTAACACCCGAAGAGTAGTCATCTTCGGGGTCGGGGCAAAGGTCTGGAAGAAGTGAACTCCCTCATGCTGACTGAAGCCCCTAGCCACAAGCGCGCCTTGAACACCGGCGGTGATCCAGGCGGCCGCTTCACCTTGAAGATCCACATGCCATCGACTACGTTCGCCCTGGGAGGGGGGACTGCGTCGACGTAGGTGCCTGTGGATCTCCAAGACGCTAACTCCGCGGTAAGTGCGAGGAGTCGGTATGTCAAGGGCGTCGAGGTCTCCCTTAGGGGATAGCAGCATGGCACAGACAGAGGGAGAAGCGGCTGCCGAGTACTCCAGCTCAGACTCTCTGTCCTCTAGGACGTCACAACCAAGGGAAAACTCACCCCCGACGTTTAGAGGACGGGAGGGAGGAGCTGGCACCACACGGGTGGCGTAGTCAAGGCGGCTGGCAGCAGCAAACTCAGCGACAGCGGCAGTGAGAGCCGAGACAGACGACGGAGGGAAACGAGAGTCGGTGACAAGAGTGGCGAGAACACTGGAGACAACAGGACGAACAGCGCGGTAGTAGTCAGAGATAGGAGTAGGGGGGACAGGGAGAGAGGACGGAGGAGGAGACGGGAGAACGGACTTAGGAGGACACGAAGAGACGAACAAAGGAGGGCAGTGCGGCGGACGGTAACGGGGGACGAGTGACGAGCACGCGGAGGAGAGGGACGTACACGGGAGTGTGGGACAACCAGAGGAGGAGACGGGGACCTAAGAGATGACCAGACCGCAGGAGATTCGTCAGGAGGAGGAAACGTAGGACCAAAGGCAGGGGGGGATTGAGAGCGGACAGGAGAAGAGGAGGGAAGAAGGGCCCGCAGGCCACTCACTGACGGGAACAACTGCCGCTCCAGAGGAAGCTGCTGCTGCTGCTGCTGGTGCTGCTGCTGCTGCTGCTGCTGCCGCTGCTGCTCCAGCAGGTCCAAATGCCGCAGCTCCTGCCGCTCTATCTCCAACAGCACCTGCTCCTCACGCGCACGCCGGCGGGCCGCCTGGAGACGCGTGTCGTGGCGGTGGGGAGGCGGAGTGGACTCCGCAGAACCAGTGTCTCCAGCTCCAGTCTCCTCAGAACCAGTACCACCAGTGCCGGTGTCTCCAGAGGTAGCACCACCAGAGTCAGTGTCTCCAGCTCCAGTACCTCCAGAACTAGCACCTCCAGTGCCAGCGCCTCCAGCTCCAGCACCCCAAGAACTAGCAACTCTAGTGCCAGTGCCTCCAGCACCAGCACCCCCAGAACCAGCACCTCCAGTGCCAGCACCTCTAGCTCCAGCACCCCCAGGACTAGCACCTCCAGTGCCAGCACCTCCAGCTCCAACACCCCCAGGACGAGCACCTCCAGTGCCAGCACCTCCAGCTCCAGCACCATGCGAACGAGCAACCCCAGACCGATCACCTCCAGTGGCAGCACCTCTAGCTCCAACACCCCCGGAGTCCACAGTAACCTGTCGCAGAAGTGCCGAAGGCTGCTGAGGAGACTGTGAGGAAGACTGCGGGGAGGGAGACGCAACCTGACGCGCGACCGAGGGCAGAGGGGTAGCGTGAGACACACCTGACGGGGCAGGACGAGGGGGGGGCGGCGGTACCGGAGGAGCGGGGGCAGGAGGAGGAGAGGGTGCGAGGAAAAGGGGGGGGAGGGGGTGCCGAGAGACCTCGACAGGGGTACCGGGTGTAGTAGGACATTGACTCGTCAAACTGGACGTCACGGGAGTCTAGGAACTGGTGGAGAGGCGGGTGGTAAAAGGTCCTGTCGGGAGAGTCTACCGGGAAACCTAGGAAGACACAGGGGATGGCGCGAGCCGAGAGCTTGTCCGCAGAGGTATCGCGGACAAGCGCAAGGCAGCCCCAGACACGAAAGGCCGACCCAACACCAGGGGACCCCGTCCAAAGACTGGTCGGTGAAGCCTCTGGCCGCGAGACACGTGGCTGGAGGTTCAGCTGGTGGGCGGCGTAGCGAACCGCGTAGGGCCACAGAAAATGGGGCGCATGGGCATGAATCATGGACGTGCGGGCGATGTCCATGACCAAGCCAATGCGGCGCTCGGCAACCCCATTCTGCTGTGGGGATTCCGGCAGCGTCCAGGACTGTAGGATGCCCTGCTCGCCGCAGAACCCGGCAAGAATGCCTGAGCGAAACTCACCCCCACGGTCGGAGTGGAAACAGGAGACACGACTGCCACAAGTGCCCTCAGTGGCCAAGAGCCACCGGATCAGCGTAGAAGTCACCTCGGACTTCTACGCGAGAGGAAACACCGTGGTGTACCTGGAGAAGTCGTCGACGACCACCAGAAAGTAGCGCTCCCTCTCAGGTCCCTGCGTGGGGTCAGGGCCCCAGACGTCCAAGTGGAGCGTCTGGAAGGGAGCAGTGGCCGGACGAAGGGAGGAGGAGTGCGGAGTGGCACGGAGACGGCCGGCGACGCAAGGAGTGCACGGCGGTGCAGGGGAGGGAGGGAGCGACGGAAAGACGCGAGGGAGACCTGAGACAAGACGGTGACTAGCCATGGTGCGGAGGCGGGGGATCGACGGGTGGCCAAGACGTTGGTGCCACAAGACGGTCCTGTGGGTGAAAGACCGACAAGAGCAAGACGCAGCAACATGACCAGACGCAGCAGTCAGACTGGACACAGCAACCGGAGGGGACGCAGTAACCTGATCGGACTCCGCTACCTGGGGGGACGCAGTAACCTGACTGGACTCAGCAACCTGGTGGGACGCAGTGTGCAGGACGAAGAAACCTGAGTGGGGCTCCCTGGTGAACGTGGCAAGAAGTGCCCTGGTGGAAGCATCCGTACAGATCGCCGTCCTCCCGTGCGCCGGAAAAGTGACTGTGATCCCACGGTCCTGAAGGTATCCGACACCCACCAAGTTCCGAGAGAACGAGGGGATGTAGAGACCAGTGAGGAAACCAGAAGGGACAGCCGAGCACGGGAGAG